AGGCAATTATCCTCGCAGCTGCGAATTTGAACTCACGACCCTTCTCGTAGATGTGGACGGCCACTACGATTCCGGTGGTCAAAACTACTCCTTCTCAATCTATACATATACCTGGGATGCGAACCTTTGCCTCAATACCTAAGGATCTGTTCGGCAATTCTGGACGTATTTATAAAGCACCAAATATTAATTGGAGTCAGACAAGAAGCTACATAAAACGCACAGGAGGAATCGCAAAATAACCTAATTCCTCGCATTTGCATCATACAATAGCAGAAACATCGGAGAAACAGGCATCGGAACTTCTACCAAATATCTAACAGAGTGGATTCTCGGGTGACCATCAGTTCATTCATTACTTTTTCCGAATTTCCCGGTTTTCTTAAATAACTGTCATTTATAGACAAGGTAATGTTACTTGATAAACCACAATATATCTTCTCCTTCTTTCATTACGATGTCTACTTTACTGCTGTAAGACTTTTGGGGCCGCAGCCTGGGCTACTTTTGCGTAAAAGGGATTTTCTTGCAAAAAATCCTTGGATTTCATCAGATAGGCAATCCACTGTATTGGGATCACCTAGCACTCACGCGACAACGCCATAATGCGAGCGTATGCAATGACGGGCGAGCAACCATAGGTGCAGGCAGAGCGCGTGATACGTTACAGGTAGAGGCTTGGCGTCTAGCCAGTCACTGTATCAAATCTCATCATCAGCAGGCTGACAGGCTCGTAGGTTACAGACGCACACAAAGGAAGCGGGGGGGAGCAGGGAACAGGTTCAGGCTCGCGGTGCTGGAACTCGGCGCAGTTTTTAAATGTAACATCGAGGGACGCGAGAGGGACTACTATGACGCGTGGTTTGAAAGTCTGGGCGAGGAGGAACGCGTTTATAGCCCCCTGGGAGAACGGGAGCCGCCCGTAATACAAGTTGCTTCGCGTTAAGTCCTAAGGTTTGAGTTAGCTCAAGGTTAGAAGTAAATTTGGAGGTAGCAATATGTAAACATTTACCGTGCGCACAGCACGCGTGTTTCGCTGAGCTAGTATCTGTGCTGTAAGTATGACAAATAACTACGTAGTGTATGCTACTGTCTGCCTATTAGTAACTTGTTAATATTGCACAATTATTCCGCGGCAGCTGGCGGATTTCAGTTCTAATACGCATATCAACATTCGCACCGAAGGATCAAATCAAGGTCACGTATTAATTTCCTTCGAAATTAAACGAGGCGAAAATGGAGTGATTCTGAAGGTTTGGGCAAGGGTTAAGACGTGGGAAGATTTGCTCACCCTAGAATTTAGCACCAAGCCATACGTATTATGGAAGGCGGCGTGTTTCTATTCCAGTATCCTATACCCGAGGGGGCATATAAGTGACTCCGACCGGCTACGCTCTGATAGAGTAACTTGAACACCACTGGAACAAGAGCCATACTTATATGTATTATTCATAATGTGGTCTTATGTCATCTGTGACATCGAAAGCCCGTGTGAAACATGCGTTAGACGATGATTGCACGTTATCTCAGCCACTGCGCTCAATCTCATTCGAAGTCGGTTTGACTCACGGCGGCTTTTTGTGTATCGAACAGAGGAGAAAGACAGAAATAGAGTTATGTGGTTTCAGTTCAGTTCTGGCACTCAGTTCTCCACATTATGACGCGCTAGGACTCGTGGTTTCGGAGGTTGCCAATTGAGGAGCTAACTTGGTCTTACTCAGGATTGCAGCGACTCGCAGCTATGAAATGCATACTTGTGTGAGATACCAGACTTCCCACTTTATTAAGTCTCTCGCATATGAAGTTGGCGAGCTATTTAGCGTTGTCGGCCACTGCGTCTGTGTCCATCTCAAACGCGAC